GTACCTTGATTTTTTCTTTTTTTTCTTTCTGTAATTCAACGGCACGTTGTCGGTTATTCCTTCCTTGTAGGCTATTATTATAGGCATAAAATGTATGCAGTACATGGATAATTGTACGTGCATCTATTAATCATTTTTAGTCTAATATAATCCCATACAAAAGTGCTGCTCCATCGAGAAAAGAATGTTAAGAATCATATATGCGTGGATATTTATAAAAACAGATATGATATGTCTAGATTGAGAGCTTTCAACATTTTACATTTTTCAAAAAGATCAAATACAGGCAAATTTTTTTTTAAAGTTAATTAATGTCCGGGTGAATTTATTTGTATTATATTTATCAAAACTATATATATATATATATATACACACATACACACAACCATACAAAACTTTTGGGTCAGTAGGATTTTTTAAATTTTTATTCATATTTTCTTTTCAGCAAGAATGCATTCAACTGATCAAAGGTGACAGTAAATACATTTAGAAATTATAATTTTTTTTTTACTTCAAATAAATTCTGTTCTTTTGAACTTACTATTCATCAAATAATCATGAGAAAAAGTCCCCGTTTCTACAAAAATATTAAGCAGAACAACTGTTTCCAACACTGATAAGAAGAAATGTTACTTTTTAATGTTATCAGTATATTAGAACGATTTCTGGAGGTTCATGTGACACTGAAGACTGAACTGATGGTTGCTGAAAATTCTGCTTTTAAAAATGACTTTTTAAAGTATATGAAAATAGAAAACAATTGTAATGATATTTCACAATATTACAATTTTACTGTATTTTTGATTAAATAAACGCTTGGTGCACAGTAGAAACTTTTTTCAAAAACTCCTTACCCAACCCCAAACTTTTGAATGGTTTGAATACATTTATTAATTATATTTCTGTGAGAATATATTTATAATTGTATATATTTATTATTACTTAATTGATTAGATACATTTGACCCTTTCCTAATTGTTTCCCTACACTATAACTTAAATCTTCCCTCTCCTATTAGGAATTCTCTCTACATAAATTTTCGACTTGACCAATAATGTCCTGAAGATCTATGACTAGGTTGCATTCTCTCAATGCTTAAAATTTAACTCAACAGCAAATTAATACTGGACCATGTTGTTTAGAACATCATAACCGGTACTCTCTGAAAAGGGTGCAGTTTCCCAAGGGATGTGGGATGGTTTTTTATTTTCAATTTATAAATACATTTAGTCTGTAATATCTCTGTATCTTTGTTAGCCAAAATTATATTAAAAATTATTTTAAGCGGACAGCGTCTTCCATATTAACATAAGCGTGATGGAGATTTCAGCAATGAGTGGTAATTGCTCCCCCTGTCATCTCTGTTGCTACAGTGGGATTCTGGACATCTCATCAGCTAGAGGGTGCAACAGACCGTGTAGTGGGGAAATGTTCTCTTTTTCCACATTACCGCACTATGTTTATTTACAGAATGCTTTCTGAGCCGCTGAAGCGGCCTTGATTAAGTGTACGCTCTTTATGTGACATCTAACAGATTAAAACTGAAGGAAACCTTGCTGGAGGCCTTCCTTCATGAATATGTGCTTTGATACAGGCAGACGTGTTTGTATACAGGTTTTGTTAAAAATAGGAAATAAAAAGAACATTAACATAATATAATATATGTACTATACTGTTAGATTATGCTATTGTTAGAAATTGTATTGTTATTATTGCCTGTAAATAATAAAATGAAGAAACTGTATCCGGATTTGCTAATTTTATGGCTTTGTTAAAATAATATTAATACATTTTTTAAAATTATTATTATAATTTCCACTTTAATGGTGAAATAATAATAATATATTATTTTTCTAATTTTTTTTTTTATGTTATTGTTATTATTATTATTTCTGCTTTAACAAATATAATAATAGATTATTTCCTAATTTTTATTTTACATTTTTTACTTTATAAACAATAATAATAATTTATTGTAAAAAAAAAAAACCCCCGTAAGACCAACATATTAAAATCCCATAAAATGTATTTTTAGTCCATCTGTGGCAATGGAATACTTTTGACCAAATATTATAAAAATAAATAAATTGACATCTCACTTGACGTCCATCTCCCCAAATGACATACAATTGCAATCATACAGACAATAAATGTTCATTGAGTTTTATAACAGTACGTCAAAGTGAAAGAGGGTGTGAGTGACAGAGAATTACTTGAAATGCTTCATGAAGGGTCCATGTAGCTAACTATCATTTTTAACACTACTAGAATATAATTTCGGTAAACAATCAAAGCCAGAGCTTTGCAAATGAATGTTTATATCCATATTTCCCTTTGATATTTACTGGAGAAAAAATAGTAAGGCTATATTAGTAGTTTACAGATAGCATATGCAAACCTTAGAGGTTTTTCTCTTCATATTTTAATGAATAGCAGTCACTTCTAATAAGTGGGTGTTCAGTGGGGCCTTTAATGCAAAGACTGCAAATATACGTATGCGAGTCTAGCACTGCTGTTGTTTTGCTCAAGTTGCTCATTGCTGTGCCATTTAGTAAGGCAAATAAACTCACTTCCTGGCCCACTCCCTGTCCACATAAATCAGCTGAGCTCATGCCCATAAATCTACGGCGTGACTAAATGAGAAAACTCATTGGACAGCACCCCTCCGGCCCCCCTCCTCTCTGTCACTCAGCCCCTCCCCTACCGGACCACACATTTCAATACAAACAAAACAGATTCCAAATCAATAGCCAAGCAACAGAAATGCTGGATAACTACAGGTTGATAAGAAGAGCTTTAGCCCAAATGTGACTGTTCGGGGAAGGTTCGCTTATGACCCGGAGGTGTTTTGCTCTTTTGAACGTAGAGGTGGTTGGGTTGTTTGTTTGTGTTTGTTTTCTTTTGTTTGTTTGTTTGTTTGTTTGGATTGATTCTCTCTCTAGTAGGGTGTGAAGCGACTGTAACCTCCTCTGTAAAGGCTAGCCTGCAACATCAAAGATGAAAAAACAAAAAGGACCCAATCAGTGTTAAATAGATTCTTTGGGGTGAACAGTGGTTGAAATTTTCTTCCCTTTTGTCTCATTTTGCTTATCGTTTTAAGTTTGGAATGAAATTACAATGTGAATTTTAACACAGGTGGGTGTCAGAGTTCAGAGCTTCATGGATCAACCGGGTAACGACTAAAACAGCCCAGTGTATTTCATCAGTCGCTCTGTATCGAACCTCTCCATCATGGCCGTCTCGCCCTCAGGTTGATCTGATTGGAGACATCTAACACGCACTACTTTCTCAGACCTCTTCTTAACCGGACTGCAGTAGTGCCCTACTCTGCTCTCGCCAAATACAAAAAACTTCAAAGGCTCTATGAGCCGTTCTCCTAAGCTTCGACCCTGTGGAACATACACATGCCTTAAACGTGGCATTAATTCTGTTCTAACAGAGAGCAAAGCAAACTAACTTTTTTTCCCACAACCCTCTGAGGGGCTCATTATTAAATACTTTTTACTTGTGATCTACTGGTCAAATATGATTTAATGATATTCATTTCATTCTCAGCAGGCTCAGTGCAATGAGTTCTGCCCATTTGAGTCGCAACCGGTTCGGTCCTGCCATCACTGAGAACTCTGAGTGCCCACTTCGGCCCCCCTGCGGCCCTCGTTTGACCAGAGGAGTGCCGAAGGATATTTGCTATGCCTAAACGTGGTAAATTGAAGTCTTGAGAAAGGGAGGAAAATTTGGGAAAAAAAAGAAAAGGAGCCAAAAAAAAAGCAACACAGGCCACAGTTTTAATTAAGTAAATGAAGAGGGAAAAAATGGTCTTAATTAATGAAAGCTTTTAGCTAGCAGCTGCACCGGGGAATAGTACGGTTTTGAGAATCACACGGATGTCGACTTGGTAAATTCCAGTCATTTGTCTTAGGCAGAGTGTTTGTCCAATAAGCCTCATGGGCAGGGGGAGGTGGGTGTGATGGAATTTATTTTTTCTCTTTCTTTTTCCCCCGTCGTTCTTCCTCTGTCTCTCGCCTTTTCTTTAATCTCCCTCGGCACGCTGCTGCACGCGCTTGATGGTCGTTAATCTTGAGAAAAGTCCCGACCAACAGCCGCAAAAAAACAAATCATAAAGAGTTTTCTCTTTTTGTGTTCAGATAGGAGTTTTAGAATTTTTCATCTTTGATGTTAGCTGCAAAAGCTAGCTAAAAACAAACATTAACGGGATGATGATCCCCACATTTGCTGATATGCAAAGGACAGTGTCTCATTGGAAGGTCTAATCGAGTGTCAGTACGCTGGATTACCCGAATGCATTTAATGAGATACAAAGTGCCCAGGATCCATCTTGACAAACTGTCACATACACATATATCAGCTGATGAGTCTCTGAATATATAAACATATATCTATACTCCTGACATTAATAATGCAAATGTGAACAGGGTCCAAAATTAACACTTTCCAAGCACCAAATTTAAGCATAAATTGGCTTTGGCGAGAAAATAAAACACTTCGGCAGTTGGCCACTAGCAATCTGTTAGAATGGTTCCTGATGTAGCTGAAGAAAGCGATTAAAATCAAAAAGGTACTATCATCTACCAATAATGTTACATTTTTTCCCGTAGTAATACTGGGATATGTTTTTGGTCTCCACAGCTATATATATATATATATATATATGAATTACATACAGTATAATGTATGCATAAATAAAACAAATTTATGGCTGGTCATTTTGGACCCTGAATATGATTATCATCACGTAGAATATTAAGGACTTTAGACACCCCAACTACATATCTTCAGCTCATAGCACATGCTTCATTCAATATGATAATATTTACAATTATTCTATTCATAATTCAATTACATTTAACAGAATGTACAGTGATATCTTTCAGCATCATTATGGTTGCACTGGGCTCTGCCTTGTATGTTGTTGGGGTGCTTGAGTCTGTGTAATGTTAGGGCATGGATGAATGTTTCATGCATCACGTTTCTAGACTCACCATAGTGCCCACGCTGTACGTGGCTGCAGGTCCAATCGTGTGGTGATAAGGGTCTGCTGTTGCATAGACTCTGCCATAGCTACAGGGAAAGGAAGAAACGGAGAGGGCATTGAAGCTTCGAGAAGACCGTATGCACCAGTGAACACTGTTCATTTGAACTAGATCCATTATCACTACACCCTTCCTCCCTCTCTCTTGCCCTCTCTTTCTTTGTCTTTGTCTGATAAAAATGCAATCACTGGCCTGCCATAAATACACGGTATAAAGGTAAGTGTGTTAAAAGTGATAGGTGCTCTGTTATTGTTTTGGAGTAAAAGTATTTTATCTTATGAGCATGTGGTAAAAGTTATATTGGTCAGAGAGGGACAAGCCACTGAAAAAACTCAGCAGAGTAGAAAAGAGAAGAAAATGGGAAACAGAAATGAAGAACCAACAGCAGCATTGCAGGCTCATAGAGTGTATGTTGCCACTTTTTAAATAAATCTTTTATTTTTTTAATAAAAATTGTTTTTTTCATTCCTCTAATCAAAATGTTGTGTAATTGTTTTTCTTATGTTCTCAACATCACTTTCCATGTCATAATTTATATAATTTATTTTCCATGTTATAATCCCTTTAAACCATCAAAAGCAACTTCCTTATTGACATCATCCTCCAGGAAGTGACACAAATTTGGTGGAAAAAGCAAAAGCACAAAAATCAATAATTCCTAGCAATGGATTTGATAAATTCGGCGATGGTTTATGCTATTCATTAACATTCTTATTTGAAAAATAATTACTGAAATATGTATAATTTAAAATTTCAAACTAAAATATGTGAATTCGGTTAGTTTCCATGCTTGTGTAAGCAAGTAAATAATCAAGATTAAATAATTAAATAAATACATTTCCTATAAATATTTCCTTAAATGACAACATTAGCAAATTCAAACTTTAAAAGTTACAAAGTTCTAAAGGTAATGCAGAACAGAAAGGACCCAGCAAGGAAAGAGATGTAGGGATGGTTTGGATTTTGTGTTGTTGTGCGTGTGCATTAAAAAAGCGAGTGAAGGAGGCAGAGAGTTTATGTTCACAGCTCTCTTTATCCTTTTCATGCTCCTTTGCCCTCTCTTGTTTACCAAGGCTGCACTGTAAAGAGGCACAGGGCTGGTGGCGGCGGAGGCGTTCTCTGACTCTTTTCATTGGTACCGATTTGGAACTAATTCCTCCAAGATGGGCCTTACTTCTTCCTTTATTTATTTATTAACCTCCAACACTTCCCTTCTTTATTTGTTGACTTTCCCTACAAACACACGCTTGCAAATGAGGGCCTGTGGGGAGCAGATAAGGCAGGCCGAGCCGGGTGCCGGGTGCCGAGTGCACAGACTGAGAGAGGAGAAAAGAGGAGAGAGGGGGGAAATCCTGGGCCCAGACATGCTATTACATATGGAAATACTATCGGATCTGACCAGGTTTTGGTCGGCTGGGATTATTACAACATCAAAGGTCAGGCCAGCTCAGTGGAGTGAGAGAGCCGAGTGGAGGGGATTTTAACTGCTTGTGACAGACAGTGCAGACGAGGGTGGCTGGGAATCCCCGTAACACCCCAGCTGGGTCGGGCTACTTAACCTGCAGCTTAATCGGGCAGCGGGAATGACCCACTCCAAAGTAAACCTGGATAGCTAGTTCCAGCCGTACTAAACAAGAGTGATTTTTCTCCTTTAAAATGGTTTCCGTTAGATAATTAAGGGATGGTTCACTAAAAATGAAAATTCTGTCATTTACTCATCCTCTGTGACTTTCTTTCTTCTGCAGAACACAAAAGAATATATTGAAGTGTTAAAAAATATTTTTTGTAATCGTAAATAAAGATTATTGGAGTATGTTTTACAAGAAAATAATATTTCAGTTTTTCAATTTCAAAATGTCATGTTTAATTGAAATTGTGTTATTTGCTGTTTCTTTGTAATTGATTGTGAAATTTACTAACATTTTCTGAAAGAAAATTGTTTCTACACCATTTTTTTTATGTGTGTGAAAAATGTGTGTGAGTTGGTGACTATTTACTTCCATTGTATGGACAAAAAAATACATTTTTCAAAATATCTTCCTTTATGTTCCACAGAAGAAAAATGTTTACTGGTTTGGAACAACATTATATGAAACATAAAATGATTCACAAAAATGAGTCATTTTTGTGTTAACTATCCCTTTAAGCAATATTTTTTTAAAGGACAGCTATGCTTTTTTCATCTTGCTGTTGCTCCAATACCACATGACTTTCATTCATCTGGGGAACACAAAAGAAGATATTAAGAAAAATATCACAGTTTTTGCTTTTGTTCATACAATGAAATTCAGTGGGATCTAATGTGGTTTTGAACTCCACTGACTTTGTATGGACAAGAACAGTTGAAAAATTCTTCAAAATATATATTTTTTTGTGTTCCGCAGAAGAAAGAAGTCATGAGCGTGAGTAAATGATAACAGAATTAATACTCTGTTAAGAGGTGAGTTCAGGAGTCGGTATCATTTAAACACTTACTTTTAAACCCCTCCACCCTGACATATCAAATTAGAGTGCGAAACGCAGAGCTGGCTTATGTGAAAGCAAGAAGCTGAACGACAAGCGATGCAGAAAGAGGTGGAGAGAGAAAAGGAGAGCTGGAGCGAAAGAGGGGACGAGGGAAGGGGGCTGAAATAAGTGCGGTGGAATGCCAGTCTTGTCACCTGCTCTGATGTGGATCTGTGCTTGGCTCTGATAAATCTTACATTATCTGGGCTCTTCAGGCTGGCAGGCAGGGCCGTGCCTTATCGGCACTGACATGCTCAATCTTGCCTAGATTAAACCAGTACCTGGCCTGATCCAACCTGACAGGGTCCCCACAGGTCCTGGATAAATTGACAACCCTGCACCACCTCCGTCTTCCCACACACACACACACACACACACACACACACACACACACACACACACACACCACCGTGCGGCCGTGTGCGCGCAAACTGC